TAGTCCTTTATTCCTTCAAATTTGTGTTTATCACATTTGAGCCAACGAATTTTATTTATTTATTTCCTCGTCCCCAGAACTTGCCAGTCGTGTCGATTATTAATTTCCTATATAATAGAACATATTCACGACGTAAAAGTAAACGCCGCTTGGCCGGCCGTTAATGTCATCTGCACATCAAGCACCTCTAACATCGGCGTGTCGGTCCCGCAAAACCTTAACGGCATCCTCCCGTCGTCCCTTTCAAGGCAAGACCCGTCACGAACGGCACCGTGTAACGCAATTAAATCTGACCCACGTCGGGATTAATTTTGTGGTATCTTATGCGGCAGCCTCGAGGCAAATCCTTTTACCTCGCGTCGTACCCCACGGATTTTACCACCGAATATACACACGACCCTCCGAGATATTCCGGCTGGCCTGGAAAATAAGCGCGATGTGGTAATGTCGTAATTTTGTTAGAGATTAATTCGCTTAAGTGCTGGAAAACGCCTTTACGAGATTAATTTGCGACTCACCGCCCCGGCTAAAAATCTCGCATCGCTGGGACAACGTATCCGGCATTGCGACGAAATAATCTCCGTCCTGAGTAACCGTCGTATTGATTGCGATACCGAAAAAATTCGCGCGCTAATCGCATCTGAAAAGCGCGATGTCAATTCGCGAGAAGTGAATCTCTCGGTAGAGGTCGGATTTAATGTGGTCGACCATACAGCGACGTCAAAAGACGCACATCGGAAAGGGACGTCGAAGCGCCGCGGATTCAGAGGCTCCGAGAGAACCGTGTGAAATCAGCTTTTTCAGCGAGGCGTAATCGGGCTAGGCTATGCGTAAAATCTCACCCGCGCGTATTTGCGTAAGAGCGTAATTTCTGAATTAAACAAAAATTCCGCTCTTGTATTTTGTCCGTTAGTTGTTTCGCTTTTGATAATTGAATGCCTTAATTATTAGCGGAACACCAGCGGAAATAAAATTCATTAATTTATAACGTCGAAGTTTGGATACATTCGATATCGATTCGAAATGGATTCTAAATTTTCTGAGTGTTCTGCATCTCCCAATTTCTGTTCCTTAATTAGAGCTTGAAACATTACTCGACGCGAAAATATTTCACAATTCTGGACGCAACCGTAATATCTTTTTCATATTGCACTCGAATTGCAAGAAGGATTCGCTGTAAATCTAACGGATTACATATTGCTGGACAGCGGGAGAATTCGTCGCGCCAGCCGGCGTAATTACAACGTCGCGATATCGGTGACGAATTAATTCGCATGCCGAACGCATTACTCTTCGCGCATTTAGCCTCGCGCGGGGTAATTCGAGCGACCGCGATTAAATTGAAATTACATTTCGACCCGTTGAAATTTGCGGGCCGCTGCTAATTACAATCGGGCTACGTTTAATTGCGCGTCGGTACGCCGGAAACTTTCGACACCAGCGTACTCGTCGCCGGCAACTGTCGGCAATTTTTTCGCCCTGAGAACCGCGGGTAGCTCTGAGAAATTGTCGGGAGCGCGTGGCTCCTTGCCGAGACCCAATCGCAAATGGAACATACCGATGCGAAATTCGTACTCTCTAAAATTCGCCCACTCCGAGGACAAACCTGTCGTTCAGGCAGGATAACGGTAGGGACTTTGTTCATTTACTAGAAGTGTTTCCGCGGGTGTGGCCACTCTGCATCCATACGATGGTTTACCAAACCGTCGAGTGAGATACCACCACGTACTACTTTATTTACCTAACAAGACGTGGCGGAACTCTTGCCTCACTTTTCCGCTCGAAGGTAGCAGTCATGGTGGAAGTACACAAGGTGAACCATTGCGCATGAAGAGAGGAGGTAGCTCCTTCCAACCAACAAGCGTCGTGCTTTTTCGCGTGGCGGCAGTTCAAACGATCAAACAGATCATAACCCAACCTAACCTTAAAAAGGTATCCGCAAAAAAGCACGGCTCTTATTGGTCGGATCGCCCCCACTACTTTTAGGCAACTGCGCATCTACGGAAATGGTTCACCTTGTGTACTTTCACCATGGTGGCAGTCTAGAGTAGTATACAGGGTGTTCCAGGAGGAAAGGACAATATTCTGGGAGGTGATAGTATCGGTAATTTTAAGCAAAAATGTTCCTATAAATATATGTCCCGTTCCCTTAGAACATATAGACATGGAAGAGGAATGCCTATTGTTCTCGAGAGAAAAATATGTCCGGAGGAAGTGAGAAAGAAAATCGTAGTGCCTCTCTCTCGTGAGTTACTGCTCGAAAGTGCGCATGCGCACACAAGCATCGGTGTGTGTGTGTGAGTTGGCGCGCATGCGCACTTTCGAGCAGTAACTCACGAGAGAGAGCTACGATTTTCTTTCTCGCTTCCTCCGGACACATTTCAAGTCCCTATTCCTCTTCCATGTCTATATGTTCTAAGCCCGTTCCCCACTGTTTCCGAGATAGAGCTAGAATGCTAGAATATTATTCCTACTTTATTCAGTGAACTGAAGTAGGTAAGCGAGAAAGATTTCGAGTGCGGGCCTGGATAGCTCAGTTGGAAAAGCATTCGCCCGGCAAGCGGAAGGTCCCAGGTTCGAATTCTGGTCTAAGTCCTGGCCCGTTATTTTTCGCGCCGAAAAATTAATGAGTGGCGCGTCTTAGAGCCCTACCTCCCCGAAGATACACCCCTATTTATCGCTCTGGATACCACTGTAAATCGCGGTGGTAAACTTATAACTGTAAATCAGTCACTATTCACTGTTCCAAGTGATAAGTTACCGATTGATTTTTCGAAAGTATCTACCACCCCGCGGCACAAACGAGCTATCCCGTTCGCGAGAATCGCAATTAAAGTCTACCTTGCTCGCGAGCTTCTTTTTCATTAAATCCCCCAGACGAAATCTCCCATCGCCGGACCCCGTCGGTTCGGCGAAAATCCACGAGAGAAAGCTACGCGCGAGAGCTCCCCAAATATTCCCTGCACTCCACCGGCGCGATCCAATCTCGCGGCGATTGTATTGCGGCACGGACATTGCGGAATGTCACGTATCGGGACGCCGGCGGTACAAATGCCGCGAATAATGCAAAATAAATCACATCGGCGCCGCGCATAACATTATTTACCGTGCGTCTCTCGGCTCGCGGAGAACCGTCGCTCCCGCGCTCGCGCCCGAAAACACATATCCGACAACGCGATATCGCCGGATGCAATCAGTACTCCCACGGCGATGCCAGCATGCAATTTCGTACGTGCTTGCTCGAGGATCGATGGATCGCGCGGATCGCGCCCAAGGAATCCGACTGATTGCACGAGCACTCCGTTCCTCCTCTCCCCCCCCCCCGTCTTTCCCTATCTGTTTCTGTCTCTTGCCACATTTCTCTCTCCCTCTGTCTTTTTAACATCCCTCTTTCTTCGGTTCTCGCTCTCCGAGGAGGTCTTTTTTAGGGCAGCGACGATTTTCAATTCGGACCAAGGCCTCCCTCTCGCCGTTGCGGTTGCACGAGTGCGTCCGCGGGTCGGATTACGGGCGCAAGCGATTCGCATCTGCCGCGGGGAGCTCGCGGCGGGTCCCGCTTTGAATACGCGGCGTCGCGCCGCGGTAACGAGCCAATCAGAACTTCAAACAAAACGAATTCGGCAGGAACAGCCGCGACGTATCTCCCGGAGGTTTCTCATTACGCAGTTTACGGCGCCGGATGCTGATTTTAAAACACAACCGGGCCGGCTTTGTCCCTCGTCGGGTTTATTATACATATATTACCACGAAGTGCACGTGGAGCGCAATATCGCGTTTGAATTCGTAGCGCATTTGACGGAGCCCGCGGCCCGCGCAACAGACACTACGTAGCTTCGGCTGAATTTTAACCAGCTTCCCCGCATTAAACGTTCGAGAATCGATAAAGGGCGCGAGGGGCCGTTCGGTATGGGGAGGGCTCGAAGACGATGCAAATGTCTCGTAATTAAAGCGGCGACGGTAGCAAAGAGGGATCGGTCTAACTACTTCCAGTTACCGATACTGGAAATTTATTGCAGGAAAAGAACAACGGTGGGACACTTGGATCAAGAGCTCTGCCGTGGATTAAGGGCGTTCCGGAGGTGCCTTATTGCGAGATTATCATGATCCCGTTAGGTATCATCGACGTCTAATTTAACTATAGAGAATGTCGCGCGGTAATCCCCGAAAATAAGCTGCCGCTCGAAATCACAACGGCGACGGACCAATCAATCGCGTGGGATCGCTTGTCTGTCGTGCGTGTAAACTATCGGTCCATCTCAATCTCCCGGCTGCCAAGGGAGATTGCGAGCCCCTTGGGAGTTTACGAGATTACATGGAGATCCCTTTCGAACCCTCGTCCGTAGACGGACGGCCGTGAACGTGAAATAGAAGCTTTACTAAATTATCACGTCGTTAAACAATCATACACAAAGATGTACGGAGGGTAAGGGCGGTTTCGGTCGAGGCGTTCAGCCGAGGGGCAATTTTTAATGACGCTCAGATAAATATTTCCAACGCTTCGTACACAGGGCGAGGCAATAACTTGGTCCACCTCGGATATCTCCGCTATTTTTAAAGGTATGCAAAAAGTACAATTGCGAAAGTTGTACTATATCAAGGGAGCCGTAAGATGTTAGTAATACTTTTTCAAAAGATGGAGGCGCTTCGGAGATTTTAAGGTCATCTCTGTTCTTTTAAACGGAACCCCCCATTGTTTACTATACTATCTTATTCTACTAAGTAATATGAACAACTTTTGTCTGAAACATTTTTTGATTTGCCTAATACTTTTTTAGATATTTAGCTCATGATATCTCGATAACTGTTCGTCGGAGGGAAAACTAGTGCAGGACTTTTTTTACTTGATTTGGTCTCAGGAACACGCCGTCGCAATAGTGCTCCAATGATTGAAAACGTATATTGTAACATACACAAAACTTGCACGCGCAGTGCATCGAACGTGGCAGCTACTGTATATTCGGGCGATGTAATGGCGCGAGTCGCGGATTAATTTTCCTTACCTGGTGGCCTCCTGCAGCAACAGGTGAGGCGGCACCCAAAACTTAACCCTCAGAGCGAATCTTAGAGGCGCCACGCCGCCGCCGGTCTGCCGCTCTATGGGGTTTCTCAGGTTCAGCCAGAGCTCCTCGCCCTTCGCGTTCTGGTACTTGAGCCCGAAGTAATCGCACTCCTTGCTGACTCCCAGGCAGTCGCAGGCCTGCAAACCAAATAAATCGACTCGTATTCTTCACCAGGCGAATTCTCTCGTCGGCGCGGCTCTATATATTTCAAATAAGCTCGAATCGATCGTGCCAAATGCGCTTTCTCGCAAATCGGCTTGCTCCCGGGGTACGACCCAAATTTTCAAACGACCCGCTATATCTCTCCGGTTTAACGTCTATAATTAATCGCTGATCCGCGACACTTCGACCGATTAATCCGCGCGGGATTCTCCCGCGGGCGAGCGCGGGAGGCAAACAAATCGCCGGCAATAACTTAGAAAGTAACAGCACGCGTGGGGCGCCGCGCGGTACTGCAGATATCGCGGAAAAGCGCGCCGTGGAGTCATTATTCGCTCCGCGTCTCGCCCTCTCCGCCTCGTTTCCGCCGCGGCCGCCGCGCGCCGTTTCCCCGTGCTTGCCGGTAATTTTTCCTCGCCGCCGCGCCGCGGCCGCCGTAATTGCGGAGCGGCAAAAATATCGGGGGCGGCTAACGCATGCAATTAAATCAAGCGCGCGCTGCTCGCGCGCTCATCGCAATTTCCTTCCGCGCGCGGAGCGTAACAATAGCGCGGATTCTTCTCAGCGGCGCCGTCTCGCGCGATAAATGTAGACGCGATGCCAAGCGGCGACTTAAAATCGCGGGCGATAAAATATATTTGCAGCCGGGATTAAAGTTCTTAAGCGTAACAAAGAATGACAACAAGACAAAGCCGCTTTACCTCGCGGATTATAGAGATATCGAGATATTGCGCTTTTTATTTATTCCACGGGGAAATCCTGTTTTCTTCATCCGTCTAAATTATTTTATTATTAGGGATCTTCCCAGCCGATAGATTGTGTGACGGATTCAGACGGAGTCAATCTTTCCCCGGCAGAGATCCCCTGGCGATCTCGCCGGCAATCTCTCGCGGAGTTTTTTAATATTCATCGTCAGACACGCTGAATTGAAAGGCGGCGAAAAAGTATTCAGGAAAAATTCTTAATAAGCAGATCTCTTCCATTTACCCGCGCGCTCTACGCCGCGCCGAGGATTCTATTCATCCGCGGCCCGGCTCATTTCGCATTACAAAATCGATATTCATGGTGATACCGGCGATCGTAACTTTTATCGTAAATTATGCCGCGCCGCTCGAGCGGCGTTATTGCGAGCTGTTATATCCGTTATTTACGCCGGTCGAGTAAACGCCGCCAAGTGGCGTTGGGGAAAATCGTTAAAAACATTTACGGGAAATGACACGTGCTCGATCCGCAACATCAATCTCGCGATTTAAATCGCGCGCTCGCGCCGCGGCTCATTATCCTGAATAAATCACGGAACGCGGTCTCGCTCGCGGGGAGAAATTCGCGCGGAAAAGTACGCGCGGCTCGCCGTGAGTGTCGCGGCTGATAATTATCCATCGCCCGGTTGACCCAGATAAGATAATTTCGCGCGTTGATATTACACTTTCGCCCGCGGGCGGGGGGAAGCGCTTTAATTCATTCACCGTAACGCGACCGCGTAATTTCTCCTAATAAACGACACTAATAAATTCATCCGGCGACACGATCGGTGATCGACCGCACGCGGTGCGGTTACACGCTGAAAATATCTACATAAATCGCGGTAGCGAGGATCAAATCGCGGGATATTAAATTACCGATACCGCGGTAGGAAAAAAAAGGAAGAAAAAAAGCGTCATTGATACAACGCGAAAATGTTTGGCGAAAAAAAATGGAACGAAATAGCCGGGAGGCTAAGTGAATTTACGCGCGGTATCAAATATCGGAAACGTTACGATCGATCGATTGTTTGTGGGAATGCGTGTATACACATTTTTATATTAAACACGAGCGATCAAATGAACCCGCAGCACGGTTCTCGCGAAGAGGCTGGGAAGATATTAGGTTTCTCCCTCGGTATTTTCCTTAACGTGTCGCTTTCGACTCTGAAAATATTTGCTGCGTCGAAATTACCTGCGGTTACCGCGCGCCGAAAATTTCCATTCGCCGCGACATTCGTTATTAACGCACCGGGGCGTTTCTCAAAAGCGCTTTCGTAGCGCCGCACGACTGATGGACCGAAAATGAAAGCTATTATTTTTATCACGTTGACAGAGTGCCCATTTGAGCCTCTCAATGTCGCCGAGTGACACAATGCGCTGACGGCACAAATAAACATTTTATTGCTCGTTATTGAGGAACGGCCGATTTTATTACAAATAATAACGATATCGACACCCGACTAATAGCGGTGGAGGTATCGACGTTAAATACCCGACTGTCGGCGGAGAAGCTGCGATACTTTCTATCTGATGCCAAGTTTTCAGACGAGGAGTATCGCGAGTGCTGCGAATTTCAGTAGCGACTCTCTCTCTCTCTCTCTCTCCCCCCCCTCCTTCTTTCTTAGAAGACCGGATTTTCGAGATATACCGATGTTACGGGCAAACTCGGTCACGTGCGTTGTGATAAGGGAAATTCACGGAGAGGGCTCGCGCGCGTTGTTCCCGCGGTAATTTACTGCGCCCGGTCGGCGATGTTAGCCGGACGCGATGGCTTCTTCTGAAAGTGGAAGCACGCGAAAACGGATAGACGGGTTGATGACGAACCGTCATCCACCTCAACGTCTCTCCCACGCGGTGAGGGACGCGCGTTCACAGGCTCGCCGTTCGTCCCTGCGATTCAGACGAATTGCGTTGCGTCAATCGTAATTCGCTCCGATCGCACAGAAGACCGAGTTCCTTTGTTCCCCTCGTGCGCTGGTACACGCGTACGCGCGTAGAAAATCACGTTGCGAAAGGATACAGGATAAGATTATGGCGCGCTATCCGTACCTTTAGTCTCGCCTAGCTTTTACCCGAGATCTCACGAATAATACACAGGGTGTTCCGGGAAGAAAGGTCAATATTCTAAGAGGCGATAGTATCGGTCATTTTAAGCAAAAATGTTCATACGAATATATGTCCCATTCCCCACTGTTTCCGAGACAGAGCTACTTGAACGTCTCGTATATTTACTTCTTTTCTGTACACTTGACCCTTCATGCAACCCCATAAACATCTACGGGAATTCACTCTTATATCTTATATTATCACTCGTCCGTTGACTGCTGTGCCGATAACATTATAAAAATGTTCAAAATGCCTCGTATTGTCACAAATGTCGAACGAGCAACACGCCATGTTCGCGCAAGAGTTGAAAAAATGTTGTTAACGGTGGAATTTTTGAAAATTTATTACGATCTGTAAAACATGTATCACTTGGACAATGAATATTAGAAACAGTACGTAGTACTTCTTTCTTGTCAGTAATTTTGCAATTGCACATTCAAATAGCTCTATCTCGGAAACAGTGGGGAACGGGACATATATTTATAGGAACATTTTTGCTTAAAATCACTGATGCTATCACCTCCCAGAGTATTGTCCTTTCCTCCTGGGACACCCTGTATACGGCGAGTAGAATTTATTATATGGGAATAATACGATATGATATAATGATTTATTGAGTCTTTTTCTATCGCGGCCAGTGAAATTATTATGACAAGCGCAGTGCCAGATTCCCAGACGAAATATTGTCGTGGCACGCTGTGCACGTCGCGGAATAGTTTGCATAAGAAGACAGTTATGAATTCTTGGTTCATTCGCTCGAATGTTGTCCGCTACGCCCTTTAATCTCGCGCATGCGAGAGCTCTTTATGCGAGCAGACGAAACCGCACCGGCACAATGGCGCGACTGGCGACGCATGAATTGCAGATCCGCGGGTAAACGCGGTTTGGGACCGAAATTTATCGCTCCACGAGGCCCTACGTTTACGCACCGTTCCAAGTATTTTGGCAAAAATGCGGCAGCTCTGTTTTAGATAAAAATCAAAGCACTTACTCAAACGGAACGTAAGTCTCGCGCCGACCATACTGCGTCCGAGTGTGCGATTGTCCGTTTCCTCCTCGCTTCCTTGGGATATCCTTGGAAAGATATCAAACGAAACCCGAGAAGTGCAGAGTGAGCAGAACGACGATATCGGTTCTCCTAATCGATCGCGACTATTTCTAATAAATTAATAAAATTCGTATGGCTCAAATGTGATAAGCACAAATTTGAAGGAATGCAGGACTAAGAACCGTGACAGGGTGTTGGTGTCTAAAGATTTCATATTCTAAATTTATTGCGAAAATTATTACCTCAGTTTGAACCTTTTTTTATTAATTTGTTAATTTACGCGGACGTAATACGCGTTTCTTATTTTTCTTTAATTATTTAGTCAGGTGGGAGGGCAATAATACACAGTTGGAAAATTTGTGTTTTCTTGTTAAAAAAAATGCCGGTTAAAATTTTTGTGTTAAATGTTTAACACATTCATGTGTTAATTTAACATATTGCTCTTGTGTTAATTGGCCTCAAGTGTAAAATTATTAAAATAACTGAAAAGAAATGTTAAAACAACATAATGTATACTTATTTTTTAATCTTACACCCTGTCACGGTTCTTAGTCCTTTATTTCTTCAAATTGCTATTTCTAATTTTCATTGTCGTTAAAATATTTCAAATCGACGATTCGACGAAGACCAAAAATCAATATTTAACTGAAGAAATTTCAAGAAGTTTTGTCGAAACGACAAGGAGCGAGAGCGAGAGAAACGAGTGATTTCCTTAATCGCAGCGTAGAAGATTAACGATCGATCTTCCGCTTCTAAATATCCAGCAGACTCCGCAAAAGCGCAATACCGGAGCCTTCATTATTGGTTAAGCCGGCAATTGCGCCTCTATTGTCTCGAGTAAGACTACAAACAGGGCGCGAGCAACCTCCCCTTGTTTACCCGCCCTTGATTGGGTCGTGAATCTATAATAGGTCAGAACCAGTTTCTCGCCGAACGCGCACCAAGAATTGCAAACGCGAAACTTTATCCGGCATATTTTTATCGTTCGCCGAAGTTGTTTGCATCGTCTACCTCGTCTATTCGGGGAACACTTCGGCTTTACGCGTCTCGGCGAGTTCCTCCTTCTCTCTCCCTTTTTCTC